AGTACGCCGAAGAAAACAAAAGACATTATGTTGATATATATGTATATTGTTATATCAAAATTTGAAAAGAATTTGGATAAGTGTACGTAAGTCTTTAAAAGGCTGTATAATGTCTATACTACTTTAGTAATAATTTAATTAATTTCAATATAGTTGTCTTGTAAGTCAATGTATAAAGTTTATTTTACTCACGAAAAATGTTGACCGGGTGCAGTGGCTCACAATTGTAATCCCAGCACTTTGGGAAGCCGAGGCAGGAGGATCACTTGATGTCAGAAGTTCAAGATCAGCCTGGGCAACATAGCAAGGCTTTGTCTCTACAAAAGAATCAAAAAATTAGCTGTGCATGGTAGCACACATCTGTAGTCCCAGCTATTCAGGAGGTTGAGGCAGGAGGACCATCTGGACCCAGGAGGTCGAGGCTGTGGTGAGTCAAAGTATTTATATATGAAGGGGGACCAAAAAACCCAGAGTTTATTTATAAAAAATATGTATTTATTCTTACATGCTTAACCTTCAGTCACTACAAAGTGCTCTCTGATGCAATACACCTTTCAAGATGCTTTTTCCACTGCCCAGAACAGTTTTTGAACTAGTCAATTGTGATGTCTTTTGGTGCTTCCGCTATTTTTTGTTTCGCCTCTTCCACATTGGCAAAATACTTCCCTTTGAGGATTTTTACCATTGGGAAGACAAAATAAGATGTCGCTTGGGGTGAGGTCGGGTGAATAGGGAGGGTGGGGCGTGGGGGTTATGCTGTTTTGTGTCAAAAAAACTGCCAGACACTCAGCATGGTGTGGGCAGGTGTGCTTGTAAATCACCCATCATGAAATGGGCAAATGCAGCCAGGCTTGGTGGCTCAGCCTGTAATCCCACGCTCTGGGAGGCTGAGGTGAGTGGATTGCCTGAGTCCGCGGGTTCAAGACTCGCCTGGGCAAGTTGGCGAGACCTCATCTCTACAATAAATAAATAAAAAAAAAAGTAGCCAGGCGTGGTAGCACGCACCTGTAATTCCAGCTACTTGGAAGGCTGAGGCTGAAGGATCGCCAGAGCCCAGCAGGTCCAGGCTGTGGTGGCTGGGAGCGGCCACTGCACTCCAGTCTGGGCGACAGAGTGAGACGCTGACTCAAAAAAAAAAAAGGAAAGAAATAGGCAAACGCACTGAAAGAATCTCCAGTAAAAAAAATTAACTGAAGCCACACACAGCCTCACACAACAACTCTAGCTGGTACACTGATGCTGATGGGTTCCTAGAACACTTACCAAGAGGAGGAAGCCTGTACTACAAGGGACCTGACCTCCAAAAAATAATTCCTTTTTTTGGGGGGGAGTCCCTCTCTATATACATATATATGTATATATGTACAGTGCATATATATGCACGTAATTCCATACACACACACACACATACACACACACACACACACACACACACACACGGAATTTCACAGATCTTTCTTACACCTTGCATAGCTAATCAATATATTAAGATATACTAAATATATATGAAATTACATCCCATATATACATATATAGTTATTGAGATCTCAATACTTATATATGTATCTATGGTATGTAATTTTAACATGACCGAAATGAGAAATACCCATGACAACAGGGAGTCAGACACAAAGCAGATATGGTTGACAGCCCCTGGCGAAGGGAACAGCCAGTGTAAGACTGCAGGGACACACTTGGTGTGATTATGAAGCACCCATAAGTTCTGTATGACTGGAATAAAGTGGGGGGATGAGGCAGGTCATTTTAAATTAGGATGCCAAGAGACATAAGGGAAACCACTTCATGTAGAACATGTAAGCTAAGGTCATATGTTTTAATTTTATTCTAATTACATTGTGCGTCCACTGGAGATTTTTAAAAATTGTGGTAAAGTACATATAACCTCAAATTTACCATCCTAACCATTTTTAAGTATTCTATTCAATGGCATTATGTGCCTTCACATTATTGTTCAACCATCACCACCATCCATCCACAAAAATCTTTTTATCTTGCCAAACTAAAGATCTATTAAAAATAACCCCCTGAATCCCATTTCCCACTTTCCCCAGCATTGGGGATTTGAGTAGGGCAGTAATAAGAGGTGTTTTACATTTTATTTTATTTTATTTTTATTTATTTATTTATTTTTTTGAGTTGGAGTCTCACTCTGTCACCCAGACTGGAGTGCAGTGGCCACTCCCGGCCACCGCAGCCTCGGCCTGCTGGGCTCCGGCGATCCTTCCGCCTCGGCCTTCCGAGTAGCCAGAATTACAGGCATGTGTTACCACGCCCGGCTGATTTTTTGATTTATTGTAGAGATGAGGTCTCGCTGCCCAGGCGGGTCTCGAACCCGCGGGCTCAGGCAGTCCACTCACCTCAGCCTCCCAAAGGTGCGGGATTACAGGCTGAGCCACCGAGCCCGGCTGTGTTTGAAT